ATCTCCATTAGCCTAGACCAGTGATGGCAAAACTTTTAAAGCTCTCAGTGATATAAACAACCCACTGTGGCGCATGAGCCATACATTCACTACCCTTGGCCTAGATCTTGAGGGACTGGATGGAGTAAAGCATGGAGTAAACCTTTGTCATAATAAAACACTTAGATTTAGGAGAGACGTTTGGTATTGTACGGGCTAGTCTATACTGATTAATGTACCCATTTGCCCCTGTGTAAACTGTGAGCCTCAGTTTACTTTTCTGTTGACTGCAAAGACTTAAATACCTCATAAGATTGCCATTATGTAAACACTATAATATTTTAGGCATTTTTAAAAACAACCACTTCAAGGGGCTGGGGATTTAGCTCAGTGGTGCCACCACCTGCCTGGCAAGCTCAGGGACCCAAGTTTGATCCCTGGTGCAGGGTGGGGGGGCTAAAACAACCTCTCAGGGCTGGGGATATAACTCTGGTTCAGCACTTACCTAGCTTGTGTAAGACCCTGGGTTTGACCCCAGCACAACAAAATAAGTAAATAAATACATAAATAAGTAAATGCTTTAAAGATTGTAAATGCTAGTATTTAATACTTATATGTTGTGGCATTATTTCCCCAGTAGCCACAGAAACTGTTGGTCCCAGTGATGGTCAGAGCATGCATTAGAGGTCTGAGTTTATCTTCTGGCTTTGCCACTTACTGATTGTATGACACTGGTCCAGTCCATGACACTGGTCCAGTCCTCTGACTCTTTTAAGCCTCTCTTTCCTCACCTCTAATGTGGACAATAATATCTTCCTTCCAGGGTAGTCATAAGGATTCTTTGAGCTCAGCACATGGCATATTATCCTTCCAGCTTCTCAGGCTCACCATCTTACAAAGCACCGGAAAAATCCAAGCCTTGGGTGGAAGTGCTTCTCAATAAGCAAGTTACAGCTTTTCTCTTCCCTTTGGAAGGTTGTTAGGGTCGCAGAGTTTAGAAGTCCCAGATGGTTTCAGCAGGACCTTGGGTCCCATTGCACTGAAGAAGGAAGGTGTTGAACAAAGAGTCCCCTGGCCAGAGTTCTCCAGATTAGGAATTGGCCAGCTTTTTCTGTAGAAGGCCCTACAGTACTTTAAGTTTTGCAGGCTTCATATGGTCTCTGTCACAACTATTCAACTCTGCCATTGTACAGTACTGCAAAAGCAGCCAACAATAATATTCAAACAAATGAGCATGGCTGTGTGCCAATAAAATTTTATTTACAAGAACATATGGAGGCCAGAATTGGCCCACAGACTCAGCGTGCCGATCCCTGCTCTTGGCCTCCTGAGTTTCAGAGAGCAGACTCTCCAAGGTGCCCGTGTCCAGGACAATGTACAGCCTGAAAGAACACTTCCCAATCTTCCTCTACCCCACCATTGTAGCATCCTGGACTGGAGCCCGAGAGAACAATAGGGTGCCTAGGTGGAAAAACCAACTCCATAAACAGCAGGTCTTGTTGAGGGTCCCCAGTACCCCACAGAATGCCACAGTGAGCTTTTTGCAGTCCCTGCATCACAAGAGGAGAAACTTGACCCAATCAGGCAACAGGGCAGCCCCTGGCAGCCCCACTCTGTTCAACCTGGTCCCTGCTGGGCCCAGGTAAGGGCACTGCATGAGACTTCTTGGGATAGGAAGGCAAGACAGCTACAGAAGGAGGCAAGGCAGACACCCGAACTCAGCAGGAAAGTGCCAGCTTCCCTGGACAGGTTTGAGCAGGGTGCAGCATCTGTAAAAAACTTGAGCGGGGCTGCTGCCTCCATTAACTGGGCCTGCCCCCCTCCTCCTGGCTGCAGCCTTTCTTTCGAGGAACAAGAGTTCATCTGTTTGGTGATACTCTATCTGGAATTGCTAAATAAACCTTTCAGGCCCTGGCAAACAACAGCCCATCTTATTCCGATGGGGGAGCTCCTGTAACGAAACAGACTTCTTAATCCTGAATCTGTCTGCCTCACCCTGCTCCCCTCCCTACAAATTCCTGCTCCCCCTCCTTGACCCTCATCATGGAGAAAGACTGCACAGACTAGCCCCCTTCAGCCTGCCTGTGCTCCCGCAGATCCAGGCTTGCGGTTCTCGCATTCACTTTTAGTATTGTTGTTGCTTTCTGTCTCACTACCCTTTTCTTCCCTACAGGTCTCCATCTCTCTCTTTTTTCCTGTGTGCTCAGTGTATCTCCGCCACACAATACTGTCTGAGCAAACTTGTGCAGGCCCTCACAATCATCTCATCTCCCTGTTACCCCCACTTTTACCCTCATGAGGCCACTGAGAGGCAGGGAAAGCTAAACAAATAAAGGATGGGAAGCAACCCAGCCGCTTTTCAGTTTGCCTTCCTCTCCCTGCAGACACCGGCCCAGCCCCCCATACGCACACTCACACACACGCACAGCTGAGCCCCTCCTACAGCTGCAAATCAAGCCCACTGCAGAGGCACACTGCAGTGGAAACTGCAAAATTGGTGCTTCTCCCCTTCCTTCAACATAGATGATACTCTCTGCCCTAACTCCACCAAATCTCTTGTCTCAGCAGGAGCCGTTGGAAAGCAAGGGGTTGCTGCAGGCACATTTGATCTTTGACAAAATTGCTGCTGAGTCCGGTGAAAAATGAGTTTGAACTGCACCCAAGAAGGATGAGAAGGACGTAGAGACTGTGTGCTGCAATCTCACAGGCCATCCTGGCTTCTCAGTTGCTCTGTAATTAAGCCTCAGCCTCTCTCCTCCAATCAGAAGGCAGCCCGCGAGACTGCCTCTTCTCACCGGGACGGAGGGGGAAGGGAGAGAGGTTTGAGTAGTGAGAGGAAATGATGAAATAACCCAGTTTGGAAACTGGGCCACTGGGGGGAGGGGTTGGGGGTGACAAAGGCTCTTCCTCAAGGAAAAGTAGGCCCTCAATTTGCTGGTCCCCTGTAGGGGTGTCCCGCGGAGGAGGAAGGCATGGTCAGGATTCTAGGGGCATCCCTTGCAGAGCGCAAGGCAAACCTCACCTAGCCCCATGCATTGTTCCCACCCCACCCTGAGTTTATAGCCTTTGCGTTTCTCTTTATGCCTTAACACCCATCTCCTCCAACTCCCACTAACTCTGTAAGCTCAGGGGGGAAGGGATTTCTGATTCCTGTCTCCTGTCCCTTCATCCTCCTCTCCACAAGCATCCTGCCCAGCTTTGCCCACAATGGAGAGACGAATCCATCCTCCACAGAAGCAGCCTTGTGTGACTTCCTTTTTGTACACGGGAGAACTGCAGCCTGAGGAAAGGCAGCCAGCCCCTTGCTCAAAGTCATTGGACAATCCAGTGCTCACTGCCAAAGCTGTGGGCTGACCACTTGGCTCTCCTACCTCCTCCCCTTGCCGTGGCTGGGTGACAAAACTCCATTCATTCATGAAATGAGCACCACAGGTTGATACTAAGCCTAAATTCCCAAACATCAGGAGCTCAAGAACCTCCTAACCCTTACCATGTCTTTGAGCCACTTTATTATTTCTTTAATAATTGTCTTTAAACCAGCTCACTTATTTTAAGTAAAACACTGCAAGTAATAATATCCCTGAAAGCACAGTTTAATATACTATTTTTTCTACTGCACATAAAACTTGTCATATAAAAAATGGCCCTTGGGATACCAGCTTGTGTACTGTATGTTGGTACAAAGATATTTTAATCTTTGGGCCTGGTGAATTGATTATGCACATTTGGAGGCTCTTCAGAAAAATGTCCTCTTCAGAAAAATGAGAATAATCAAGCCTGCTCTGCTTTCATGTCATGATAAACACCTCTTGAGGGGCCAAGGTTAGTTCAAAGAACTTCCACGTATTAAAAAGGGATTTTTTTTTTTTTTAACGATACTGGGTATAGAACTCGGGACCTTGCACTTGCGATGCAGGCACAGTGTCACTGAGCTAAAAAGGGAATTTTAATAAAAGACATGGCCAAGGGCCGGGAATTTAGCTCAGTGGTTCGGTGGCCTGCCTTGCAAGCGCAAGGACCCGAGTTCAATCCCCGGTACCAAAAAAAAAAAAAAAGACATGGCCAAGGGCCGGGAATTTAGCTCAGTGGTTCGGTGGCCTGCCTTGCAAGCGCAAGGACCCGAGTTCAATCCCCGGTACCAAAAAAAAAAAAAAAAAGACATGGCCAAGAGAATGGCATAACATTTAAGACCACAGGCATTTTTTAATCTATACATTGCTGAAGGGGAAGGACTAGAGAGTGTGCCCATACTCAAAAGAAGAGGAGCTCTGTACCAGTCACTGCCAAGGAGATACAACAGAAATGGAGAAATAAATGTACAGGCTATTCAAAGAGGCAATGCACACCCACATGAAAAACACTAATAAAAGAGTATGTAGAAAATTATAAACCTGATTCTAATGCTGCAGACTTATGAATCTAAAGCCAGAGGACAGTGAGTCTCTAGAAGACTCATGGGGCACTGTAGCCAAAGCAGCAGGCTGGAAAGTCTCCCTGGAGGTGGTGTTGGAAGGCATCTGTCTCCTTGGTTGTGAAGGTGTTTCTGAAACCCTTCTTTTGTCTCCCACACTTCAACTCCATACTTCCCTTGGGGTTCAGCCATACACAACAAACACCATTGAAAACTGCCTTTATGGAGGCTGCTTTTGGTTAGTAAGGCATTAAAGACATGGGAGGCAACTGTGCTATATGTGCCTCTGGGGTGTCACGGAGTACCTTCTGCTGCTCTGAGTCCTCTCCACAGTTCCTGTGCACTCCCTCACCCACACTCAATGTGCACCACTTCCCCGTGAGGCCACTCCATCCTCACTCTCTGTGAAATGCTCCCTCCTCTCTGTGACCTCACAGGGCAGCAATTTCTACCACTGCTTGTTGACCCTCCCCGGCACACTGTAGCTTCTCTTGGGTTTAACTCACTTTCTCTCTCTCCATTCCCTGCCTCTTTTCCTCCATCATTGTCATCTTCAGTAAGAGTGTTGTTTTTCCTCTAGGTGCAGGGGCACCTACCTGTATCCCAGCTACTTGGGAGGATAAGGCAGGAAGATCATAAGTTGGAAGTAAGTCTGGACGACTTAGAGAGACCCTGTCTCAAAAAATAAAAAGAGTTGAGAATGTAGTAATAGAGCATTGCCTGGGGTCAATCCCCACTCCCACAATATATACAGACCTATTTACATTCATATATAGATGTTATTTTCCATATTCCTAACCTTCCCTCTCCCCAGCCCAACTCAGGGCCTGGACTCTGCTACATTATAATGATAAGCACTGGCCAAGAGACTGTAAGGTATCATTTTCTGGTAATTAGGCAGAAGGAAAGATCAAGAGAGTTTTAATGAATTTTCCACCACTATGCCAGTAAGCCACCTACGTAGACCTGTCTCACACACACACACACACACACACACACACTGCACATTGCATGGCTGGGATGCTGCACTGAGCATCTTGTCAATACTTTCCAAACTGTTCCTCCTGTCCAGGGATCAGAATGGAGTGTCAATAATTATTTCCACTCACATCACTACAAAATAATAAACAACATGGAAGTTTAGCCAAAGCAATGACCTCAGTCCCTGCTCTTTGTCCAGAATTCTGCTCTCTGGACTTTCAGTGTGTAAAGAGGCATTTGAGTTGTAACACGAAAGAACTCATAGCTTGAAACAACCAAAACACACTGCAGAGGCAGTTTATTTGGAGATTCCAATCCAGCTGTGGCAGGTAACCTACGATGTGACTTTCATTTTGCAAGTCACCAACTGCTTGGAGCCTCAACTTTCTCATCTGCAAAATGGGGTAAGAACTTAGAACTTAAAATTCTTATCACTAGCTATATCTGCAACCCTTTTTATTTCTGTATTTTTAAGTAAGAATTACAAAATTAACAGGTAAATCATGGTGCCATGATATTCCTGTATTGTGACTTTCCTTTTTTTAATTGTTTATTGCTACATTTTAGTTATACAATAGTTACAAACATCATTGGGATCTTGTACCTTTACGTTATTTATCTTGGTTCTTATTTTTTCCCCCATTTCCAGCCCTCCCTTCACCCGCTCCACCATTCCCTGTTTACAAAGACATGTTTGCAGCGTTGCCATGGTTTTCCTTTTCTTATATTTTTTCTTTTCTCTTTTTACATTTCCCCTACTCCTCCCACTTCCCCTACTCTTTTAGACCTTTTTTTCCTATCACACAATATCAATTATACATTTTGATCCTTATTTACACTTTAGTTTTTCACATCAGAGAAACTGCTCAGTATTTACACATGTGTATCTTATTAATTTCACTTAAGAGTATGGTCTCAATGTGTATCCATTTAGCTATAAATTTCTCTAGTTTCTTGCTCTTTATGGCTGAGTATTACTCCATTTTATTAAAAAAATAAAAACCACATCTTCTTTATCCAATCTCCGACGGATGGACAATTGGGCTGTTTCAAAGTTTTAGCTATTACAAACTGTGCCGCTATCAGTTTGTAATAGCTAAATCTTGGAAACAGCCCATTTGCCCATCCGTTGGAAACTGGATAAAGAAGATGTGGTTTTTCTATAAAATGGAATATTACTCAGCCATAAAGAACAAGAAAATAGATTCATTCATAGGAAAATGGATACATATTGAAGATGTACTCCTAAGTGAAATAAATAAGTCACACATGTGTAAATACCGAATAGTTTCCCTGGTGTGAATAATCTGCAACAATACATAAGATTCTAATAAGATTACTGACATTTAGAAATGGGAAGAAAGGAGCTAAAGGTGTGGGGAAGGTGAGATGGGTAGGGGAAGAGTAAAAAGGGAAAACAAAAAATGTGAGAGAATGAAAAGATGAAAATAAAGTGTTTGTAGATGGGGAGGGGAGGAGGGGGTGAAGGGAGGGCAGAGGTAAGGGGAAAAAATGAGAATCAAGACTTGCCATGTAGAGGTACATGATCCCAACAATGAATGTAACTGTACTATATCCCTAAAATGTACAAATAAACTCAATAAAATTAAAAAAAAAAAAAAGACGTCATGTAGAGGTACAAGATCCCAACAATGAATGTCACTGTGCTGTATCCCTAAAATGTACCAATAAACTCAATTAAAGCTGAAAAAAAAAACTGTGCCACTATAAACATGGGTGAGCATATTTCACTGTGATATGATTCTTTTAATTCTTTTGGGAAGATACCTGGCAGAGGAATAGCTGAGTCAAATGGGATTTCTGATCCTACTTGTTTAAGGTATCTCCATATTGATTTCCACTGTGGTTGCACCAGTCTGCATTCTCACCAACAATGAAGAAGGATTCCTTTCTCTCCACAACCCTACCAGCATCCGTTCATGGTTGATTTCTTGATAACAGCCATTCTTTCTGGGGTGAGATGGAATCTCAATGGTTTTTTTTTTCATCCGCATCTCTCAAATAACCAATGATGTTGAACATTTTTTCATATGTTTATTTGCTGTTTCTACTTCTTTTGTTTTGGTTTTTTTTTTTATTGTTGTTGGTACCAGGGATTGAACTCGGGTCCTTGTGCTTGCAAGGCAGGCCACCAAACCGCTGAGCTAAATCCCCGGCCCCTGTTTCTACTTCTTCATCTGAGTAATGTCTCTTCATTTCAGATGCCCATCTAACCCTTATTATTTTTTGAGACAGGGTCTCTCTAAATTCTAAGAGCTTTTTGACTTGTGAAGGTATCTGGTCCTAAAAAGGGTTCAGATCAATCAGTGCCAAGTCTGTAGTTGTGTCCTTACTGTGAGACACTGACCTGTGAGATTAATCCTCTGATTTAAAAATATGATCCAGAATATGGGTGCCTGTTTTGCTATTGCTGTTCTTGTTTATTGGTTGGTTGGTTGGTACTGAGGTTGAACCCAAGGCCTTGCGAAGCCCTTTACTTTTTAGGCGAGGATATGGCTAAGTCACTGAGTTGTCTAAGCTGGGCTTGAACTTGTGATTCCCTGGCTATAAGACATTCAAATGGCCCATTGAGTCAGAGCAGGGCCCCTGCATAGATACCTTCACCTTGCAAGTGAGCTATCACCACCTGCCCACTCTACTGGGTCCTGGATATTTGGAACAGGATCTTCTCTCTAGGGGAAAATATTATTGTGTTCCTTCCTTTGGTACTTGTTTGATCCTCCAGAGTCAATATTTGTAGAGATAAGCATAGTGTGATGTAGCCAGTGGAGTTGTTTACAACTTTGCTCCATCCTATTGGATGCCAGTCCCTGTAGGCCACACTGTGAGGTGAGTAGGTGCCTTTCAACAGTGCGTGACCCTGGTGCTCACATGGCCTGCCTTAGAAGGAAGTGGAAGGGGGGCTGGCATCAATGCATTGCTGTCTCTCCAGTGTGCTCTTAGTGCTAGTCCAAATGCCAGGCAGCAAGTTAACATGACCTTCCCAGGTAGCTGGCAGGCTGGATCCCTGTCCCAACCCATTCCAGGCCTTCCCAGGTCTTCTTTAGTAGGTAGTGAGGTCTTGGACAGGCCTTTCTAGAAAAATAAGACTCTCTATTTGTGCTTCATATAAAAATACCTGGAGAGATTTTTCCACCCAGTTTGGACAGTTTATTTCAAGTGAGTTGATTAAAATACAGGCCATAAAAATATGCAAAATTCCTCTCAGGTCATTTGCAGGAAAGAGCACCTTCAAAACCTGGGTTGGCAGAGACTCTAATCAGCCACTCATGAGAAGGTACAACAAAAACCTAGCCTGACGTTTGATAGGAGACACACAGCACATACTGAGTCATGGAGGGCAGAAAACATGAACATGGTTTTATATAGGAGCCCAAACCAAAGGTGATGAGGGCATGCAGTCCAGAGGGGCAATGAAGCTGCTTCCCAGGTGGTCAACTCTACATCCTTTTATAGGAGTTGTGTTTATCATCTTTCTGTCACTATAACAAAGACCTGAAATAACTTATTTTGGCTCATGGTTTTGGAAGTTTCAGTTTATGAGCAGTTGGCCCATTGGTTTTGGGCTCATGGTGAGGCAGCACATCATGGTGGAGAAAAACTACTCACCTCAGGGCCAGGAAGCAAGCAAGAAAGGAGGAGTCCCTCAGTCCCTTTCAAAGGCTCCTCTCCACCCGCCTCTCTCTGTCCTGGCTTCATGTATGCTAAGCATCTGCCCCACCAGTAAGGTACAACTCCAATCTTTAGTCTCCACCTCCTATAGGTTCCATTGCCTTCTTGTGGCAACACACTGGGGACCAAAACTTTAACACATGGGCTTTAGGGGACATTCATCTTCTTTAATCATGCTTACTGTCTTTGGGTTTTTTCGTTATTGTTTGTTTTTAGAGAAACCCAAGGAAGCTGGCTAGCTAACAAGAGAGAAAGTGATGTGGAAATAAAAAGAGGGCCTGAAATTTAGCTCAGTGTTACTGTGCATGCCTCACAAGCCCAATGTCCTGGGTTCGATTCCCGTTACAAAGAAAGAAAGAAAGAAAGAAAGAAAGAAAGAAAGAAAGAAAGAAAGAAAGAAAGAAAGAAAGAAAGAAAGAAAGACAGTACAGTTACATTCATCATTGGGATCTTGTACCTTTACATGACAGGTCTTGGTTCTCACTTTTTCCCTTGTCCCTGCCCTCCCTTTACCCCCTCCTCCCCTCCCCATTTACAAGACTGATGCCTTTCTTAGTGAAATTTGGATGTGAGACAGATGCAAACCTTCCCTAAAGAACTGGGAGATGTTTGAAGCATTCACACACCTGCTATGTGCCAGACACCATGTTAGTTGTTGGAGAGAGATCAGTGACTCAGACTACTCTCCCTGCCTTGGTGGAGCTGACACGGGCTGGGAGGGGCAGAAACAATGCACAGACATCATAAGAGATCCCTTCTCACTGCCCTAATCTGCCTCCACATGGCACCCAGGGAAGATTCTTCTCCATTTACAAATCTGATTAACTCATACTCTCCTTGCAGAGCCTTCAGTGGCTTCCCATAAGTTGTCTATATATATGCCTGACATGCTGGAGAGTTTTTTATATGTTATTGAAAATGTTATTCACATTTATGACCCCATTATGACCCAACATGAAGAAAGATATGACAGTTCTGGGACCTAAACGTCTTGAAATACAATACAGACACTAATGCCACTGAGCTGAGACTAGGAGAAAGGAACGGGCTAAGGAATAGAGTATACTAAAGAAATGTAAAAGAGCATGCACCCGCTTTTAGTTAAGAGGAGAACTATTACGAACTTTTAGAGCCCTAAATTTAGATTAGGATTTGCAAATTCAAATGCATCTACATTTCACAAAGGTAGCATAAATAATGCAGACAAACAACGGGCCAGACTATCAGGAGACAGTGCTATCAGATGGGTCCCGCTACTACTTAGCTCCAATATAGCTTATGGCCTGGTAAGAAAGAGGGTCCAATGCAGCTGAAGAGGCTGATTTTCAAAGCAAAACTAGTTCTCTAGATTTTACATGAATTCTCCCAATTTGAAAATGTTGGTATGCAATTTGAAGTTTAGAAAAGAAAAACATGGATGTGAATTTAGGACTGGGAATGCAAGTCCTCCAGTGCAGACTATTCCTTCCAGTAGCATTGCAGGATGAAGGAAAAGCAGAGACACAGAGGGCCACAATGGTGCAACCAGGACACAGAGGGGTGTTTGGAGGCCTGGACACTTGTCTGAAGCCGCCAAATGGAAAAGCACCCATTTAAGAGAGTGAACAGGTCTGGCAAGGTCTCCTTTGCACTGTGCATCAGGATCTGCAAGGAATACCCTTCCTGGAGTAACTGAAATATGTGAACGTGGGGTTGAGGGTTAGCAGAGAACATCAGCAGTCTGGAGGCTGAAGTATTCCCAAAACTGTAAAGAAATCTGTGAGCAGGGCAGAGACTGCCTGCTGGACGCATCTCACACCATCCCTCACTCATTTTTCATGAGTCCATTCTCTGCTGCCCTCATGGCATCCTCATTTTTGTGACTCTGGGTTTGTGACCCTTCTCAGACTCAGCATGGTCCCTTCCCCTCATACTCCAGTAGCTGGCGGTGGCTTCCCTCTGCAACTCCTTGGCAGCCTCGGGTTCTGTCCCCAGTGCTTACCCACAGCTGGGGTCTGACCCTAGCAGACCAGGTTTCATCTTGTAGGCCCTCTGGTTCCCAAAAGGGTATGAGATGAAAATATTCCCATGTGCTAAAGGATTAAATTCCAACACATTGTGTTTAATTATCTAATTATTCTTATTAGTGATCCATGAATTCAGCAGCATCTCACCTATTAAAAAAAATCGGGCTGCATCTTCTGCTTCATAAGCACAAGTTCCGGAGTTCAATCCCCATTAAAAAAGGGGGTGCTGGAGGTGTAACTCAGTTTTATAGCTGGTGCTTAGCACGCTTGAGGTCCTGTGTTCCATCCTCAGCACTGAAAAAAAAAAGTGTTCCTAGAAGCTGAGCAGAGAGAGTTGACTTTATAGCCAGCAAGGGCTAAAGAAAACAAAACTAAGGGACAAAAGCAGCTTGGCCATTTCAAAGTTACTTTCCTTATAAGGTTAAAACAAAAGGGGACTGCCTTATCCTGGCTCAGGTAGACTGGGCCCTTTCAATTGGTTGCTGCAAATCTCCTGTTTTTAGGGAAAACTGACTCATTTTAAAGTTCAGTTTGATCACCTGGCACCTAGTGACTTCTGGTCTGATTCTGTGGGGCCCAAGGCAGGGGTTCAGTTCAAAACAGTGGTCTCTCATAAATTTTGTTTAACACATGAAGAGGTGATCTGATGGTCCTGAGTAGTCAAGACAACCCAAGAAGCAACCAAGAATAACACCAGCTTCCACAACTGACCCTCACTGAGTGCCAGGCACTCTTCAGAGCTTTAGTCATGAACTCTATAATTTTCCAGAATGGGCTAGAATTCAGAATTAATAATTCAGAGATAGGAGCTATTATCATTCCTATTTCAAAGAGGAAGAACTGAGGCAGAGGCGAACTTGCCTCAGGATATTTCTCTTTTCACATCAACAGACTCAGGATTTTTGCTCTAAAACGTTACTTTTCAAATGACTTCTGATGAAAGGCCAGTTTTGCCTTCTAATTCATTACAACCTGAAAGAGTAACAAAAGGAATTCCTAGAAAAATGATCAGGTACTCAGAAGGTGCTGCAATGTCAAATTGTTCTAGAAGTTTCTGAATGCTTACTCTATTTCTATCCTTAGCGCATAGTGTCCTAACACACAGCACCAAGAGCAGCACAAGCTACACACTTTTGGCAGCACTGTGCTTCTCCACCTGGCTCGGTTCTGAGGATGTTAAGTGCCCAGTAGCCAAGCAATGAAAGGAATCTCTTGTATAGATTCCAGCAAATGAACTGTTAACCTCCCCAGCTCATCCTGGCCTTAAAGACGAGTGAGAGCCTCTTGCGCTGTGTCTCTGAATTGGTGATCTAGGGAGGTGCCCTGCATTGTACCAGAGTGAGTTGATTCCCTCCCCAAACCAAAAGACTAAGATCCAGGTTCCTTTTACAATGTCCCAGCTCAGCAGGAATGTTTTCAGGGCCAGCTGTTTTTGTTCATGCATTCATTAATAAAAGTAGTGAATGCAGCAAGAGCCACCCTTTTCTTTCCTTTGTCTTGTCTGAAATGGGGCAGGGAGGCAGGAGGGAGCCACAGACTTAGGGGACGTGTCAGACGTGCCACAGGAAGGGCAAAGCCAGAGGAGGAGCCATGGGGAAGGAAGGTAGGTGGGCGGAGGAGGAGGGGACCCTGTGACCCTGCGGACAGACACATGGAACCAATCACTTGGCAGGAGGCAGGAGCTGCACCTGAGCTTGAAAAGAACCCCTGGATGCTTTCTACAGCAGGGGGAAATTAAGAGCTGAGGACAGGGCAGGGGCTAGGGACACCCACTGAGACTTGTTCAGCTACTCAGGGAACTTCTGCCATATCTGCAGTACTGGCAAAGGAAGAATAGATGTTTCTCATTATCCAAATCAGCCAGGGGCCAGCCAAGGAAAGGAAAGACAGGGACCCTAGGTCTTATTTTTTTTCTCTCACAGAGTTGGGAATCGAACCCATTATCACACAACACACACACACCACACACACACACACACACACACACACACACAGCAAGCACTCTGCCACTGAGTCACATTTCCAGTCCTAGGTCTCTTGCTCAGAGATTTGAGGGAAGAAAATTGGAAACAGAAATGCTAGAAAAACCTGTTCAGGGACCTCCAAGCAGGTGCTGTCCTTATCAAAGCCCAAGAACAGGAATCCCTCGGCCAGGTTGCCCCTAAAATATAGGGCGCCTGTTAAATATGACCCTCAGATCCTTTCCACTGCAAAAACATTAGCACAGAATTGTACATTTTCAAATGGTTAAAATCGTAATGTTCATGTTATATCCAATTTGTTATTTTACCAGAATCAAAAATATGTTGCAAAAAATGTATTCAGTTGATGGACAGTTTGAATTTAACTGGTGTGCTGTCTTTTAGTTATTAAATCTGGCTACTCTCCCTCCAGCAGGATGACAGAGGCTGCCCCAGGGAGCTGGGGCCATAGAGGAGACACAGCTGCTGCACACAGACAGCAGGAAGTGGAGGGAGTGGGGGAGGGGCGCCCTGGCTTCTCCTCTCCTCTGAGGAAGCCCTCGAGGTTCCACCACTTCTCCCGGTGGGCCAATGCCACCGAGTAGCCAGAGGGCAAAGGAGCCCCAGAAACACTGGGACTGGGAAGGATCTAAGCCAGCCCACAATCGTTTTTAATAATTCAGGAAGGCAAGACCTGGCCTGACGGCAGCAGTTTTGTTTTTATTTTATCTGCAGGCTGAATGAAACCATGAGGCTCAATGCCTTTGAGGGTCCCAGTGTTCTCAATCCACTGGTGCGGAGTGACCACTTGCTGCCAAGAAAGCAGATGAGAACACATTTGTGGACCGATTCTGTGTACAAGCTGGGGATCAAGGAGGTATGCTGCTATCAGGAAGTTTAGGATGTGGTGCCCCGGGCCTGTTCCTTCCTTTATTCATTATTTAAAAATTCATTCTGTTTATTAAAAAAGGAACTGTCTGCAGTGACTCATTATATGGTAGTATATGAAACAGATACTCCATGAAGCCAAGTGTGTTGGTGAGTACCTATAATCTTAGCACTTTGGGAGGCTGAGGCAGGAAGATCACAAGTTTGAGCAATCATAAGTCTGGGCAATTTAGCAATTTAGTGAGACACTGTCTCCAATTTTTTGAAAATTAAAAAGGGCTGGGAATACAGCTCAGTGAAAAGGCCCTGGGTTCAAATTCCCTACTGCAAAAAAGGACACTACACATTCTAAAGGTGTTTAGGGTTCCAGTTGGTTAGGAAATATCAGATGCCATGAGAATTATCTAAAATGCAAGAAGTACATGGCAAATGCAAGGAAAGTTGAGCAGAGACAAAAGCACTCCCAGTGAAGAGGAGATGGGTGGTCTGGGTGATCCCCAAATTTGGTAGAACATGCCCAGCTGGTGCCAGGTGATAGGGGCAGTGGGATGGCCCCTTCCCTTTCCAGGAGCTCATGATGTTGCTCACAAAAATCCCCAGAAGTCAACCACAAATATTTGTCCAGCCGTCTTGGCTTCTCACAACCCACAGGGAGGTCCTTGGAGGAAAGAGAACAGATTGAGGCGCCCAGGGCTCTTGGGATCCTGCCAGGCTCAGCCTCCAGCCCTGTGGTTCTGGGGTCTCAGTTCCCTGTCTGCGAGGTGCAGTTGGCCTCAGTGGTCTCTGCCCTGCTCCTGACTGTTCAGGGCCTAGCAACATCAGTACCTCGCTGTCCCAGAGCTCTCCCTTGTCAGCCAGAACAGCTGGACTCCGCACATGGCCCTGGTGTCAGACAGCCAGAGTCGCATCCTGCCTCTGCCGTTTATAGAATGCAGCAAAATGGTATCAGCTCTCAGTGGGACCATGTCTTCATATGTGAAATGGGAACAAATGTATGACTCCGTAGACTGTAAAGGTGAACAGAATAGTACATGTACCCTGGCTCTAAATTTGCACTTGCCTGTGCAGTATTTGAAGTGGAGCCCGATCTCTCCTCCCTTCTGTGAGCACGCCTTGCAGTGATCCATGCATCAGTCACAGGCTCCTTGTGTCCCTGCGTCCCTGAATGATCTTCCATAGTGCTACCCTTCACACTTTCCTACCTTTTGGCTTCCCTTCTCCAAGTCCCTTTGGCTGTGGGACACCCAAAAGGTGCATTGGGAACACAAGTGGATGAAAGAAAGGGCAGGGTCTATAAGAGCTGGCTGTGGCTGTTGCTGGTTGGAGAGGCAGAGGGGAGCCAATGGGAGGCTTGGTATTTTATCACTAGAATGAGGACAGGAAAGTGAAGGGAGTGGGCTTTGGGTCAAATGGCAAAAAAGTAGGCTAACACTGGGGACCTGGGGTCAGCTCTGAGGAAAGGACATTCCTCACAGGGAGGGAGACTACACTGTGGGAGGATGCAGAGGAAAAAAAGAACCAATTGGAAAGAATACCTGAGAGGGAGTCCTTGAAATTCAGGTTCCTAAGTCATTCTTGTTCTCATCTGACTCATTTCTTGCACTAGGGTATTTGATTGCTTACCCTTGGAAGTAGAAAGTTATTAGTAAATTGAGAGTTTTTATGGCCCACATGTAAAATTTCTTTTTTTTTCCCCCAGGGATCAAACTCAGGACCTTATGCTTGTGAAGCAGGTGCTACTGAGCTAAATCCTTGGCCCAAAGGTAAAATTTCTAATGATATAAATGTCTAATATAAATAGAACACATCAACAACCTTTTCCAACATAAGTATATTACATAAGTATATTAAAGCAAATAAGACAGGTAAGAATATAGTCACGTTATGTTTTTAAATCACCATCTCTGTGACATAGTCTCCTCAGGACAAGGAGGGATGGCTAGGAGGGTAGCCGATTTGGCAGAGGAAGCAGTGGGAAGTGGTCCGGTGGCTCCATTTCTCCTGTGGGCATCCAGAAAGGGTCAGTAACATGAAAGGGCTTTTCGTCTCAGGTGGGGGTGGCTGGGCCCTCTCAGGTGCCAAGGGGGCAAGTATTTTGAAGAGCAGGTAGGCCTTCCTGGGGTGGCCCCTGGGGAGAGGAGAAAGGCCCTGAGCCCCCAAGCTGTGCCACAGCTGCTCCCAGCTCTCCAGAGGAAGCTATGACAGAGTATCCAGGGCTGGCATGGCTCCTGTGACAGGTCGGGCAGCACACTGGGAAGGCCAGTGGGAGGCTTGCAGGCATGCCCAAATTCGTCTTCCTCCTCCAGGTGCTGGAGGCCAGTGAGCACACACTTCTGCTCACCATCCCTGGCCTGGGCACAAAGGAAGGGGTCACTCCATTTCTGACCACTGGCTTGAAGGCAGAAGGCCTAGTCTCTGGGTTTGACTTCCTTTTCCTGGGGTTGGGTGCCTCAAACCAGAGTGGTTCCTCCAACTTCCTCTTTCCTTTAGTGCATTGTCTGAGAGCTTTCAGTACCTTCTTCTTGGCACAGGGGTCTGGGCACTTCTGTGGTGGGCACTTGTAGAGGCTCCCTGGGCGCACCGGGTGATTGACCTGAACCCTCATCAGACTCTGGAGCTGAGGTTCCCTGGCGATCCACAGCCTCTGCTTCACGTAATTGTACGTAGCATAGGAAAGTTCTGGGTTGAGGCGGAGCCAGTAGGGCAGGCTGCAGGGAGCCTGTCTCCAGGCCTGAGCGGCCACAGCCCTGCGGCCTCCAGCACTGTCACAGCCCGGCCGGACCCCATAAAGAACGGGGCGCTCAGGCCTGGGCCTCCGACGCTGATCCTGAAGGGAGGAAGACGGCCTCACGGCCCTGGGCCTGCCTGAGTACCTGACTAGGTACCTGCTCAAGTAAAGGCCCATAAAGGCTGTGCTGTACAGCACGTGGGCTCCTTGGGGAGGGAATCTCGGTCCGGAGGTCTATGGATGCCTGCGGAGAGCAGAGGCGAAGCACAAGGCAAAGTGTATGATTCGGGTGACCGTTGGCTTCTGAACGCTGCCAGAGTTCTTCAGGGCACTCACGTGCTCAGGAACCTCTGGGGCCCTCGGGCCAGCCCCGCCCCTGGGACACTGGGGCGTCACAGCGTGCCCAGAGCAATGTGGTGCCCCATGCTACCCGGAGACCACGGGAAGCTCTAGCTGTGATCTTCCCGGGACAGGTCAGAGAAGCTGAGCTCTGGGCAAAAGGGCGGGGAAACAGCCTCTACACTCTCTCTCTCTCTCTCTCTCTCTCTCTCTCTCTCTCTCTCTCTCGCTTTACTAAAGTTTATTTCCTCTTCTTCCTAGGAACAGCTGGTCTGTACCTGACATTGTGAGGGAGCAAAGGTAAGAATTTCTGCAGATGGCTATTGACACTGGTTGCTTGCCTTCATCACTGAAAAAATGAATGTAATACACATGGATACTCTTGTAAGGAACAGTTAACAACTAATCTGCTCTTGGAAATTAAAATGATTGGTATTTCTTTTTTTTTTTTTTCGATTACTGCATGTTTGTAAGGCAGAATAGTGATATTGGTATGGTGGGATGGGTTCATACCTGTTACATGTCTTGACGCGTTTTAATCCCTTTACCCCTCCTCTTGTTTTCGCCTCCTCTCTCTCCCTGAATCTCTTCCCCATCTCCAAGTGTTTACCTGCCAGTTTCCTAACATTTCTTCTTATTTCATTTGTTTATTTATATTTTATTATAGGATAATATACATGGTATTTAACACTCTGAATCTGGCTTATTTCACTTAATATTCTGGTCTCAGATTCCAACCATATTGCTGTAGTGGCACAGTTTCACTCTTAACGGCTGAATGATACTCCATTGTGTATAATACTGTATAAGTGATTCTTTTGTCTTTTCACCTGTTGATGGATACCTAGGCTGTTTCCAAAGCTTAGCTATTGTGAATTGTGTTGCCATATAAACAGGGCGGTGCATGTATTACTACAATATGATGTCTTTATTTATTTATTTGTTTATTTATTTATTTTATTTTTAGTGCTGGGGATCGAACTGAGGCCCTTGTGCTTGCAAGGCAGATGACAAAACCACTGAGCCAAATCCCCGGCCACCTGTCTTTAATTTTTTTTTTTTTTGATAATGTACTCAGGAGCATTATGATAGGTCAAATGGTACTTTTATATTTAGCTTTTTGAAGAATTTCCATTTCTAGTAGTTAAACTACTTTACTTTTACCAATAATCTGGTGGGGTTATTTTTTCTCTACATACTCACTAGCATTCACTGTTTATTCTCTTCTTGATAACACCATTCTAACTGGGATGAAATGGAATCTTGAAGTTATTTTGATTTCTATTTTGCTAATGGTTACAAATGTTGAACATTTTTTCCTGTACTTACTGGCAATTTGTTCTTTTGAGAAGAATCCTTTCAGTTGATTTGTTCATTTCTTTCTTTTTTTTTTTTTATGGTCTTTTGAGACTGACCTGGAACTCACTATGTAGCCCAAGCTGGTCTCAAACTCACAGTGATCCTCCTGCCTCAGCCTCCTGAGTGCTGGGATTACAGGCGTGCACCACCGTGCCGGCCACGATTTGTTCATTTCTTGTTTAGAACATTTTTATTAGAGGTAAATTATTTTCAGTTCTTTACTTACTCTTTACATTAGTCCTCAATAGGACAAGTAGGAAAATTTTTTCTCATATTTTGTAGGTTATCTTTTTATTCTGTTGTTTCCTTTACTGGGTAGATGCTTTTTAAGTTGGTGTAATAACCTTTATTGATTCTTGACTTTATTTCCAGTGTGATTAGAGTTATTCAGGAAGTCTTTGCCTGTGCCTGTGGCTTCAAGTGTTTCCCCCTTGTGATTTTCCAGAAGGTTCTGAAGTTTGTGTTTTTATATCAAGGTATTTGGCCCATTTTGATTTTATTTTAGTACAAGGTGAAAGATAGGGATCTAATTTCAATCTTCTGAAAGTGGATTTCCAGTTTCTTGTAACCTTTTTTTTTTAAGGCTGTCTTTTCTCCAGTGTATATTTTGGACAACTTTTTCAAAAATTTGATAGCTGACCAGGCGTGGTGACTCATGTTTGTAATCCCAGCACTCAAGAGGCTGAGGCAGGAGGATCACTGTGAGTTTGAGACCAGCCTGGGCTACATAACGAGTTCCAGGTCAGTCTCAACTACATAGTGAGATCCTGTCTCAAAAAACAAAAAACAAAAATGAAAAATTTTATAGCTGTAAATGGGTAGTGTTTTTTCTGTGTCTTCTGCTCTATTCCATTGGTCTACATAGCTGTTTCTGTGCCAATGCCATGTAATTTTTGTTACTACAACTTTATAGTACAACTTGACATCCAGTGTTATGATATCTATAGCTTTGCACAGGATTCTGTGCAGCTATTCTGAATGTTTTCTGATTCCATGTAAATTTAAGGGTTTTTTTTCTGTATCCCTGTATCTAAAATAATAGATCCCCAATTCTATTATTTTAATAGGAATTACACTAAATCTACAGATCACTTTTGAAAATATGGCCATTTTAACAATATTAATTCTGCCAATCCAAGAACAAGAGCTCTTTTCACTTCCTAATGTTTTCCTCAATTTCTTTCTTCAAAGTTCTGTAATTTTTATTACAGATAGTTCACTAGCTTCATTAAGTTCATTTCTAGATATTTAAATTTTGGGAGCTATTATGAATATAATTAATTTTTAAATTTTCTTTCTCATTGTGATTATTATGGTATACAGAAACTCTTAATTTTTGCGTGCTAATTTTATATAATGCCCCTTTGCTGAATTTGTTTATCAGATCCAAGGTCTTATGGTGGATTTTTTGGGGGTCTTATATAGAAAGAGTCATATCATTTACTAATAGAGATCATTTGACTTCTTCCTTTCTGGCTCATATCACTTTCATATCTTACTTTTGCCCGATTGCTCTTAGTGTACTTTTAAGTACTATATTTGACAAGAGAGTGATAATGGACATTCTCATCTCATTTATGATTTTAGAGCCATGAATAGATGTTGAATTTTGTCTAAGGCTTGTTCTGCATCTATTGATATTTTTCTGTGATTTTTATCATTGATTCTATTTACCTGGTGTGTTACATTTATTGAATTATGTGTATTGAACCATCCTTGCATTCTGAGATGAAACCAGATCCTCTAGATCTTGTGGTACCTGTTGAAATTCTCCTTTTGCATTTCTAATTTTAATAACATGGATCTTTTCCCCATTTCTTTTCATAAATTTGAAAATTAAGAAATACATCTTATTTCTCTTTTCAAATAACAAAATATTTTATCCATCCATTCATTTTTTTTTTATACCAGGGATCAAACTCGGGTCCTTGTGCTTGCAAGGCAGGTGGCAAAATCACTGAGCTAAATCCCTGGCCCTATCCATTTATTCTTTGTACTCTTTTGTCTCAATTTCATAAACTTCTACTCTGATGTTTATTATTTCTTTCCTTTTACTGCTCTTGGATTTGGATTTTTCTTGATTTTTCTAGAACCATAAGATAAATCTTTAGGTTATTTATTTAGTATCACTCTTTTTCTAACTTAGGCATTCTTAACTATGAGCTTCCATCTTACATTTGCTTTCATTGTATCCCTAGATACTCATATATTGTGTTTCTGTTATTGTTTTTTACTAGTGATTTAAAATTTCTTCCCTGACTTCTTCTGTGACCCACTGATCATTCAAGAGTGTGTTATTCAATCTTCTTGCATTTCTGTTGCTGTGGATTTCAAGTATTAATCCAATGTGACATGATACAATGCATGAAATTATTTTAATTATTTTATAGTTTTTGAGATTTGCTCTATGATCTAAATTATAATTTGGATACAGATAGACCCATGGGCTGCTGAAAATAATATATATCCTGCTGATATTACATAATACACTCTAGAAAGCTCTGTTAAGCCCATTTATTTTGCAGTACAATTTAACTCTGATTTTTTTATTATTCATATTATTTTGTCTTGTCTTGTTCTATTTTAAGGAGTGGAGCCCTGAAGGCTGCCACTGTGATACTACTGGTGTATATCTGACTTTTATGATGAGTAGTGCTTGTTTTATGAAATTCAGTGCATCAGTATTTGATACACATACATTTGTAATTATTAGCTCTTTTTAGTTTATTATTCCCTTTATTAATGGCACTAAGAATATAGCAACTTTCTTTATCTGTACTAACCAGTTTCAGTTTGAAGTCATGTTTGTCAGATATAAGTATATTTACTCTTGTTTGCTTTAAGACTTTAGCTGCTTGGTGTACCAGTTTTCATCCTTTCCCTTCTTCTAGACCTTTGCAGTTGAAGTGTGTCTCTTCCAGATGTATAGATGGGTCTTGGTTTTGGATCTAATCTGTGAGTCCATGTCTTTCAATTGGACAATTAAGATCATTTATAGTGACTCCTGTTATTGAAAGATATGTACTAATTCCTGTCTTAGCAGTACATTGATTTTCCAGTGAATGATTCATTTCTGTCTGCATCTAACTATTCTCTCAGTAAAACTTATTCTTTCCCTTGGTCTTATGGATGTTTCTCTTCATCATCTCTGTTAAGTATTCCTTTAAGGATTTCCTACAGTATTGAGTTGGTGGACTGAAAAGCCAAAATGAATGGCTTCTTAGCTTATTAAAAGATCTATGTAGTAAGTATAAATTAAGTAATTTTGAGGATTTATTAAATTTTCATTGCCGGGGATTTAGCTCAGCGGTTTGGTGGCCTGCCTTGCAAGCGCAAGGACCCAAGTTCAATCCCCGGTACCAAAAAAAAAAATTTTTCTTTTTCATTTTTACTTTAAATTTTGATATGTCAAAAATCTCAATTATGTGATATAATTTTATTGAGAAGTCATCTAAAAATAATGTCTTATGCCCTTGTTTGCTTACTTTTTATGGTTTACTTTGGTAAAACATGTATATGCTTGTATTTTTATATTTATTTATACATGATGAGAATATTATGCTGGTGGTATCTTTTCTACACTAATATGGAATGTGAACATTACATATATTTTAGGAAATTTTAGGCAGCCAAGACTAGAAGTGGAAGAAGAAAGAACAATATGTTTATTCCTGTGCATAGTGAGTCCCAGATAAATGAAGAATAGATTTTAATGCAAGGCATCAGATGAAATAAAGACATAAAACGTACAAAAATAAAATTGTGTGGATTAGAAAGTCAGTTTTTGTCTTAACATCTGAATGTCTTTCCAGTGAGCTGCAGAGGGGAAGCAGCACAAAAGGAGGTGAAAGAACAACAGAAAGCCGGGAAGAATGAGGCAGGGGCCCCCCCAGAAGAGACCTCCTGGATACCTTGTAGGCCCTCCTGCTTCTCCTCCTCCTCCTCCTCCTTGGGGAACCCTTAGGAGCCCCATGCAGTCAATAACCCTACACCCTTAAAAGTACCACCTTGAAAACATCCATAGTCACCCTTGAAAGTACCTTAGTGGCTTAGCACTGGAGTCTTAGGCTTGCCCAACAGAGGGTTCTGAATGGCTGTCATTCCACAGGCCCATCTCTTAACCTTGGTTCCCATAGGCCAGTGGGTCTGGGAGGCACATTACTTCCAGTTCTGGACATGCCAGGCAACAAACCACTGCCCCTGTGAGAATTCTATGCTCTTATCTGGGCCAGGGAGAGCATCCATTGGTGGCATCTGGATCCTTTATTTCCAAACAGCATTGTAACAGGTGTTGCAGAGACCAGATAGGTAAAGGAATGAACAAAGTCTGCCAAAGGTAACACATCAGGAAGCAGCAAGAGGTAGAAACAGGTTCCTTGCTGAATCCTAAAGGGCAGTCTCAAGGCAGGGGGTAGTGTAGCATTCATGAGGCTCGGTTTGGTCCCTAGCACCAGAAAAAAACAAAACAAAACATGAGCAGCTCTTACTCCACTCAGGCCAGTGGAGCCACTGGAAATTTTATGTAAAATCTCCAAAATTATAAATGGCAACACCTAATTTTAACATTTTCAACCATCATGCAAGCCTAACAAAAACATTTGTGAGCCAGACACAGCCTGTAGGTACCAGTTTTCTGCCTCATGCCAGTGACTCTCAAATTCAAGTATGCATCAGAGTCACTCAGACGGCTTCTTAAAACCCAGATGATTGTAGGGCTTGGTGTAATTCAGTGGTAGAGCCCTTGCCCAGTATGTGTGAGGCCCTGGGCACCACAGAACAAAACAAAACAAAACAAAAACCAGATTTCTGGTCTAGACAGTTTCTGATTCTACAGGTCAGAGATGGGACCTGAGAAATTGTCTCTCAGAAAAACCCCAGAGGTGCTGATAAAGCTGGCCAACAAATTTGGGGTGGGGGGGCCACTGCTGTGTCCTGTGAAAATTACACCACAACCCCATAATTCTGTACATGATGCTAAAACATCGTACCAGGCAGTGCCAAGCTTCCAGGCCCTAATTTAGTTTTCACAAAGGCCCCATGAGGTAGGCTTATAAATAACTCCTTATTTCAGACAAGAGTAGCAATTAGATGGTGGCTTAAAGGCCAGGCAGAAGAACACCAGATACTGCCTCCCCTACAATGGTTCACAGCCTTCTTCTTACACAGTCCAACTGTCTGGGTCCATTTGTGCTGCTATAACAAAATAATTCAGACTGGATAACACATAGAGAACACAAATTTATTTCTCATATCTCTGGAGGTTGAAAAGCCCAAGATCAGGACACCAGCAGATTCAGTATCTGCTGAGGACCTGACTCCTCTTCCAAGATGGTACCTTACTGCTGCACCTTCCTGCAAACGCTGTGTTCTCAAGTGGCCAGGAGGGATGAACCTGCCCTCTCAGGACCTTTTGTAGGGCACTAAGGATGGATCTCCAAAGGCCCCACCTCTTGAGACTGTTGCATTAGGGATTAAGTGGCAACATGAATTTTGAAGGCCAGGCCATCATTCGAAGCACAGCACCATCACACCCATGGGTCCCCTGAGACATCCTTTCTATTGGGTTGTCATCACAAGCCAAAGCAAATTGTGTATGAGTCAGTTGTCCACTTAGTGACTGTTGAGCTTATGCTTGGTGCACAGCTAGCCAAGTAACAGGGTGAGGAGTGACGGAAAGGAGTACTGGCTATAATAAGAGACAGCAGTGTAGGGGAGGAAAAGCGGTATCTTTTTCTCACCCTCCCCTTGGTTTATGCCCGACACCCCATAACAAAAGCTAGATTAAAAAGAGAAAAACATACAAATGTGTTTAAGGAAACTCTTATATAACACAGGTTCAGAAAAGAAGACCCAAAGACCCAGGGATTTTTGTTGTATTTATACTTAGATTCAGTAAAGAACAGAAACATGTAGAATTATCACCAGACAAAAAGGACCAAGCTAATGACAATAAACTGGAAGGAATTTGGCAAGGCCTATTTGCTCAGATTCTTCTTGGTAGCTCTGCGTCTTCATTGCTTTCCTCTGGGGATGGGGCACACCCATCACATGAAGGTCTTATGACCGAAGGAGAAGTAGGTCAGAGAATTCTTTTATACCCAGCTCTCACACAGACAAGAGACAGAGGATCAAAGTGACAACGAGGGTACTGTATGTTGTGGTATCATGCCCTATATTCCATCAGTACCAGGAAAACCCTCTGTGAGCAGGACTAAAACCAAATGAAATGAAGAAGAGAGTAAACAAGAAAGAAGGAACTCCAAATACAAAGGTTCTGTGGTAGAAACAAGTGTCCATATATATTTTAGGACTAGTGAGAAGATTTCTTAAGAATAGTAAGCAGAAGCCAGTCATGTGATACTCAGGGAGTGTGTGTGAGCCCCTGTATCAAGAGAAAAGAAAGAACAGGAAAGGAAAGGAAAGGAAAGGAAAGGAAAGGAAAGGAAAGGAAAGGAAAGGAAAGGAAAGGAAAGGAAAAAGGAAAGGAAAGGAAAGGAAAGGAAAGGAAAGGAAAGGAAAGGAAAGGAAAGGAAAGAAAAAGAATGGGCTGGGCATTTAGCTCAGTGGTGCCACCACCTGCCTTGCAAGCACAGGGTCCTGATTTTGAGCCCTGATAGGAGAAGTGGAGGGAGGATAAAGTACTGAGAGAAAAGTAGAAATGAGCAGGTATCTCTAAAAGGCCATGCCAAGGATTCTGCATTTTACTGTAAGTATGATGGGAAATTGCAAGAGGGCTTTGAGCAGGAGAATGACAGTCTCCAGTTATAGTTGGATCAGTCTTGCTTTGGTTGCAGGTGAAAAACCAGACTCCAGGGAGACCAAAGTAGAAGGAATGGATATGGTGTCCAAGTGACAAAATGCCAGAGATGCCTGATGGATGAGCTGATGCAACTTGTCTCAGTCTTGGAGTGAAGGAGTGGGAAATGGAGAAGGGAAAAGAAGTGAATACCAGGTAGAACGCTTAAAATGATTTGATAAATCAGAGCAAGGCCAGTTCTTCCTCCCTGATGGGGATCCAGAAAGATGTGGGGAGAGAACTGCAGCCATTTTCTCAGAGCACCCCATCATCCTGGATTCCTGCACCTAATCTTGGCGACTGAGTGAGGTGCAGATCTGCAGAAAGAAGATTCCAGCTCCCAGATCTCTCTGCATAGTGCCTAAGAAACTTAGTTTCCCTTCAGGTGATATGGAAATATGTGAAAACTGGATTGTGTTGATGGCTTAACAGATATAAATTTGTCAGAAGTCATCAAACTAAGCTGTTGCTAGGGGTGAATGTAATATTAGGTAATCCTACATCTATAAAGTTGTTTTTCAAAGAATAAATACATTTGCCTATAAGGGACTCATCCTTTGAGCCTCAGTCTTTAAGTGTTTGGCTGTCACTAAACAGCCTAGAGATTTAAAAAATATATATGGCAGCATCCAGCTAATAGAATGGCAAGTAACCATGGAAACTCATACTTGTGAAGAACACCTGAAAACAGAAAAATAAGTTATTCACAGAATAAATGTAAAGACTACTTAAAGGATATAAAACTACACATACAATGTCACTTTTGGTGTGTGTGTGTGTGTGTGTGTGTGTGTGTGTGTATATAGACCCTGACATTAACTCTGGGTTCTAGGATTGTTTTATTTCTGTTTATTTATTCCCAACATTTTCATCTTCCAAATTTTCTACAAGGAATGTTAATAATGAAGATTCCCTCATTAAACATGCAAGAGCAAAGTAAAACCTATACAAAATAAGTTAAAGCGGGGAGTGACCACAAAATGGGTCATGTACCTTATCATGCCACATAAATTGTCTGTATGCGAGATTAACAGCAAGCAGAGACCAAACAGAAGGAAATAAACTAAAATGGTAACAATAGAGTCATAGATGATTTTAGCATTTTTCTCTTTGCTTATCTATGTTTTTTCTTTCTCTTTTTTAAAACTACAAACATGCAACATTAGCCTAATGAAAAGGAGGCATAAAAATCTCATAAGTCATTGGCACTATGATAGCACAGACTCGTTTCTGCTTGTTCATAGACTATTCTATTTCTGCTTGTTCATAGACTATTTCATGCTTGTTTTTCCACTGTGAAGATTTAATTTACTTCAAAAGTTCCACAACTATTTATGGAACGGTTGTTCTGTGCCAAGCACTGTCCTAGGCACGGCAGAAAATGGAAAGACTAATGAAATATGATTGATCTCTTTCCTTCAGTAATTTTTCTGCCCATTTTGGGAAATAGATATCAATGCAAAGGATTATATTGCCAAATGGTGTGGATTATAGATGCAGAGATGGAAGTATGAGTGCCAGGGAAATTCAGTTAATTAGTCAGCAAAAATGTTTTGTAAAGGAAACTCTACAGTTATTGCAAATACTTCTGAGAGAAATAATCCTTCAGCCTTACCAGCTTGCCAAGTGTGGCTCTCCGATGGCCTGAGCCGGTTCAGTAGGTGGGATTTTTTTTTTTTTTTGCAAAAAGCTAATAGTTACTGAGCATTGACTGTGCCACTCTGTGCTGGGCATTGTGCTTTACATTCATCTAATCCTCATAACTGCCAGGAGCTGATTTAGAGCTTAATCTGGAGAGGGAGAGAGGGAGTGGAACACAGAGTAGTGGTTCAAAGACTGGGCTTTGCAGCCAAACCAGCCGGTGCTCTCTAGTTTCGTGACCTCCACCAGGTTTCTTAACCTCAATGTACCTCAGTTCCTTGTTCATAAAATGGGGA